GACGCACACCAGCGGGCCCGTGACGACGGGAGGGACGCCGTACTACATCCCGCCCGAGTTCATCGGCAAGAAGCTCCGCGGCCCGCCGTCAGATGTCTGGGCGCTCGGCGTGACGATGCTCTACGTCCTCGGCAAGATTCCCTTCCCGGACGCACGCTCACGGAAGCAGGCTAAACAGACGGCGCTGTACTGGATGATTGCCGACGTGAATCGACCCCCGCCCCCGCCGAACCCGCAGCAGAGGGGCCCCGCTCAGCCTTGCCCTGCTGTGGATCAGATGTACAGATGGCTGAGCGAGGTTGCGGTGGCGAGGGAGAAGCTGTACCCGCGCGACAAGCTTGAGCGGCTTGTTTCCGATATGTTGATACCCGCGCCGACACAGCGGATCACCATGGCCCGCGTTGTGAGAGAGCTGTATGTCATGGAACAGCAGGCTCTCGTGAAGAGGTGATCGGTTGCGCTCACCAATACCCTTTTCTCATGTTTTGGCATGGATTTAATCTGGATTATACATTGTCCTTTTGGTCGAGATAGGCGCCACTGCCCCGCCGGTGCGCATGAAGCTGCATGATGTTTGCGAGAGATACCACTGATGTTGAGAAAGTAGCATGCATGGTTTTTGAGTAAGTGCTTTTTGATTGGTTTTGGGATTCACGCCGACCTCGTTCAGTAATATTGACGCAGGTCAGGCCGCATTGCATTTGGTCATATTTGGACACGGTTCGCATCTCATATATACACATACATATAACTGAGCATAGCATCTTTTGAGAAATTTCCTTTTCATTATCATATCGGTCATCCAGAGGATGAACTGGTATCAAGCATTCATGTACATTAGAAGCACGAACGCATTTCTCATGCTGTCCCCTCTTCCGTGATAGATGTCTTAAGACACCTTAAGCTCCCGTCACATCTTTTCCCTCTGGATGCTGTCTTACAGACTCACGCCAAAGACAAATGCCATGCTGAGACCAACGACCGATGAGAGGGCCAGCATGTGGGCTCCGTTGCCTGCCGCGCCGCTGGAACCGCTGCCTGAGGTAGAGTTGCCCGTGCTGTTCCCGCTGGTGCTGTTGGTTCCGTTGGCGCTCTGCTCCTTGATGGTGTGGACCGTTACGCCCTCCGTCTTGCACTGATCCGAGGGGAGGGTGGTGGCGTTTGAAGTGAAGCGGATGTCGGCGCACTACATCGTCCGTCACGTTAGCATCCTCTCCACAGAACGTTTCTTTCAACAAGCATCCACAGTACTTGATCAAAGAAGATAGTAGAACATACGTTGTAGAGTCCAGAACCAGACTCGCCGACAGTAACAACCTGGATACTTCCCCTCTGACCGTCCTTTGCGGGCGTTGGCAGCGCAAGCTTCTCAACACAGAGGGTGCCGGAGCCGGTGGCGTTCCAGAGCTGTGGGGTGAGGGTGATATTGTGCGTCGTGACATTGCCGCCGGACTCCAGGCCGAGGTTGATGAAGACGTAGGTCCAGTCGTGGTGCAGGTCGAGCTCGATGGAGCCGCCGTCGAGGGGCCAGTCTGTGACGTTGCCTCTTCCGTAAGGGACTCCGGCACCTGGTGAGGAGGTCAGCTTGTGTCACTTGTCGCACTCGAGTTACGGGGAGACGAAGGCAAGAGTGACTGGGAAAAGAGGGGAACTGTACAGGGGTAAGTCCACTGGGAGTAACCCGTCAGGTTCGTTCCGCTGAGGGTATCAGCGCGCCATGAAGGGTAGGCGAGGCCAAAGTGAGCGGACGCAAAATTAGCGGCGCCGAGGGCGAGCAGGAGGGTCTTGGGGGCCATGATTGCAAGTGGTATGCGATCGACAGAGCTTCTAACTTTGTACAGCGGGTCAGATGGAGAGATCAACGATGGAAGAGGACTGCCAAGAAGATGAAGAAGAGGATGGCTGGAGGTACCATAGCTTGACTTCTGTGAGGCAAGCATTTATATAAACAAATCAACCTCCGCACGTAACACCTGCAGCATACCTTAAATGGGTAGCTTATCCTTTCTTTTGGGATGTCACGTAGACAGGGATCTGAGCTGTAAGCATCGTGGCAGGTAGACTAAGGCAGGCCAGCTTCCGCGCGAAGAAAACTCCCTCACACGCCACAGTGAGAGCGGCCTAGACTTCTTACGGCGCTACCCTGTGGTGCGGCCTCAAGGGGAATAGCCCGCTGGCGAATATACTGTGAAATAACAGCAGCATATCGAGGCCTCGGGCTGTCCTCATGGCGACAGGGAATGGAAAAGACAAAAGCCTCGGACTGAAAGACCGAGAGGCGAGCAGTTCCGCAACGGGGAAGTACACCAATGGAGGGCACCAACTGAGCAAGTTTATTTTCACTTAGGCAAGGTACCTGAGTCTAGCGAGCATTTGGCTGGTCTTTGAGCGAGATTACCAAAGAGCCAAACAGGCGGCCCAGATGTTTCCTTCGTGAAAAACGGTCGTTTGGCTGACTTGAGGTTGGGCGAGAGGCTCAAGATGGGAATGGTCCCCTTGTTCAGCCGGCGAATCAGAGTTGGTGGATGGCGGGGGCGGGGGAGCGGCGGGCGCTAGCGCGGATGCAAGTATCTTGCTCAAACTCACGCACTCTCTCCCGCAGTTGCAGCTCCCGAATGCGCTTCCTCAATGCTGGGGAGATGACATGTACTGATTGGCCGAAAAACGTGAAGAACGGCGGTGGTTGTGCCGGCCGGAATGAGCTGGATTGTTCAGTTCATCGTCTGAGGCGGTCTGTCAGCTGCTCTGGAGTTGATTTGGTAGCTGGAGTTGGATATCACGTGGGCGTAACTTACCAACGTCTCTCGATTGCTTGGTCCAGAGCATCTCGAAAGATGCTGACGCTGCTTTCATATTATGGAACAAGATGTTAGAACGTTGACAGCGCCTCGAGATGCAGCTGGCAGGTTGGTTAAGGGGATGTTGGATGATGCTCAGAATATCGCAATAAACACCAGAGTTTAAGAGCGACAAAATTTGACATGGCAAAATGACGGACTCGCAAACGATTCGCAAGTCATTTTTGGGTTCAAGACGATTCGAAGAATAGGCGTAGACTACTAAGATAGCATCGTGTATGCAATACATTATATATTCTATCTTTTAACCTTCAATTGTACCAAGAGATAACGCCTCGGCGCAATGATGTCAATGTTCTACAACATCAAGTCATGAAATATCTACTACAAGAAGAGTTTACGATGGTGAGTGTGCAGCCGATTCAAGACCAACTTTGCTACAACTTGGGAAGCTGGTTGAGAGACCACAACCCAGTCTCATCGGTGTACTGCTCCCCACCGACAAAACCCCCAGATACAGGCCCTCTCCCAGCCTGCCAGAAAGGAATCGTGACAAATATGTCCTTACTTGAAATATTCGCTACAAAGACCCCAGCATCCCCCAAGTCCCACCGCATAATCATCCCAGCAGGCGCTGGCGTCCCAGGCACGAGTGGCCAAATCTGCCCCTCACCCCATCCCAGCGTGTTATTCACGCGGTCCACGCATCGCGACGCAATCACGTGGCCGTCCTCGTAGGTCGCGAGGTACTCGGAGCTGATCTCGGTGCCGTCCTGTGCGTGCGAGTGCCACCAGACGACGGCATATGGACCCAGACGAGCATGGCCCCAGAAGGCGGCTTGAATCGCTTCCTGGAAGGGACGGTCGACCCAGGTCTTGTCGTGGTAGCCGTAACCGGAGAAGGACATTGCCGTGTCGCCGAGCTTGAGGTCGACTGTTGCTTCGGCGTCGGGGAGGGCGTTGGCCCAGGCTACGCCTTCGACGTTTTTCTCATTTACGCCAGCTGCGTCGGTGCCGCAGGTGTAGTGGGGGGCGACGGTCTGGAAACAGCCAGTATGTCAGTCTTCCGGCCATCCGATTGGGTAGTAGACTTGTACTCACGTTGCCTCGCAAGATAAGACTTCCATAGATGCCAGTCTCAGGAGAGTTGATGGTCACATTATAGACCGGTCTCGGCTGCAGCAAGCTTGAGCCCGACCAGCTGACCTCGCTGCCGCCGAAAAAGTCGACGCCCATGCTCTTGTCCGCCCGCTCGGTGATGTTGGCGTACTCGGAGTTGACTCCGTAGCTGAAGGCCGTTCCGTTCGCGAAGGATCCGAACAGGGATACGTGGTACTGTGTGGTGCCTACATCTGCGCCGTTATCGGTCGGTCTCTGGATCTCAAAGTTGAAGACGACGGTCTCGTTGGTCGAAGGGTTCATCGCGTCAAAGTACCATCTGTGGAGACCTTGAGTCAATCACATATATGGCAGGATGCAGCAGGGGGGGTTAGCTGCACGTAGGGTCTGATGACGTACGAGTCAAAGGTAGTTGCGTTCGGGCCCGGGTCGATCTTGAAGAAGTCTGCTTCACCGAGAGCTTCTGTGGTGAACTGGACCTTAGTTGTGCCATTATATAAGTCTTTGCCAAGCTGGATGACACGATCTCCTGTGCTCGTCTCGGCAGAGCAGGTAGATGCCGAAACGGCTACAGCAGCCAGCAGACAAGCTTTAATTTGCTTCATGGTCGGTTGTAATTGAAGATGGTGCGTATTAAGATCGGGGCTCTTGATACAATCGACTTCTTCGTAGGCCAGCCTGGATGTTTCGAGGATCGCTGCATGTTGGCTTATATAGAGCAGAAAAGACTGCCATCATTTAGAACTCTGCTGCGCCGAGAAAAGGGGACACTCGACTCAAGATGCTCTCGCTATTCCCCCACTGAACATAGCCGCAACCCTTCAGTAGAGGCTACTGAAGCCGACCAAGCTCCCCTGACATCGCATCGCAGAACGAATCAGCCGAACGCTCCGGTGCGGAAGCCGCATCGAAAAACGCTCATGTGCTCATGATTCCTACGTCTCTCTACGGCTACAAGATATTGCAGCGTCGAAAGGTTTGTGGATTACAACATCAACTTCGGTCTCGGTTCATCCCGTCATTCGACTCGCAGCTCGGTTTCGGTTTCAACGGTGGTGTTCGCTTGAGGGAGTCTGTAGTTCGTCATTTCCCGTTTGTCATGCCCATGTTGCCAAAGGAGCCCGAAGGACCCCGAGCGCCGCAAGTTCCTATCTCCGGATGGAACCTCATTACGTGAGAGGTCGGCAATGCGTCCGTCGGCGTCGGTCGAGCAGCAGCATCCGGATCCGGGGCCAGGCTGTTTCTCCAGCCGCCCGGGTACCGCTCCGGAATTTCTCCACTCCTCGGTGTAGACGTCATCATTGACTTTGGTCACTTCAACCGCCAAGATCGGAGGCAAGGAAGCTGAGCTTTGACGAAACAAAGTTTGGCCCATCCCCGCTGCCGAGTCTATCTCGACCGCACTCGAAAACACCCTACCACACCTGCAGTCCGCACTCACGAAGTTCGCGGCTTGCGAGAGAAGATGCGATTTCCGCCATCAATCCAGCGCAAAGAACAGAACAAGGCGCGCGAAATCACCTCGGGATCGCAAGTTGAGCAAGCTTAGCCAGCGTCGATGGTTTAGTGGTAAAATTCTCCGTTGCCATCCAGCAGCGTCGGGGAGCCGGGGGTTCGATTCCCCCTCGACGCAATTCTTTTGCTCCGCGGACCAAATCCGTCTCCTTTGGGGTAGTACCTGCCGCCGCTGTTGCTTCTGGTAGTCCCAGTGACGTTGCTGGACTGTCGACGCACTTCGCCCACGTTGTCTGTCCTATTAATACTCAATCGGCGCCTCCAAATAATTTTTTGCGATGGAAACCAGTTAATGGGACACAATAATGCCAGATTCAGTGTGGCATCGGACCGAATGGCATTGAAATAGTTAACGTATTTCCCCGGACTGGGATAATTGGCTTCTTGAACAAGACCAGCCTTGGCGGTTAATTGTAAGACTATAAGATCTGGGGAGACTTCGTGAGCGTCTGAATAAAGCATTGAAATACGGGTTAGCGTAACATCGTATCAGATCGTTGTACTGCGCCGCGGTGGCATTCGCGAACGTGTACGAGCTATGGTGTCGTCGGCGTGGATGGATGGCATCGTGCGATGAGACGTTATCCTTTAGCTACGACGATGCAAACGATGCGACAATTGGTGCCAAAATCACGGCAGTCAAAGCAAAGATATCTTGCCCGATTGACTCAACGTAAGGCGACCAATAATTATCGACGAATTGAGACCAAAAGAAGGGTCACCGAAGATGTTGCATCATATGTGCCCTGATTTTCAGTGTTGAGAAATGGGCAACGGCGCGATTGGCATGAAATGGACGGGGAAAGTTGCGGCGGCCTCAAGTCACTCGGTATCTTTTCTCGCGCCATGTGGGGCTTTGTTCGAAGCGAGCGAGCCAATGGATCCACCCAGAGAAATCCGCCCATCGTTCAGCCCCGTCGCACCCGCATGGGTACATTGATGCTGACCATTACGATGCTGAACCAAAGTTCTTTTCATTTAGCGACACCATATACCTGTGTGATATCTTTTATGATGTGTTGTGTTGCGATATAAAACAGTTAGAAGCTATCTCAATTTTCAAGTAGATTTATAGCTCACATGTGAAGCCTATCGGGTGGTGATGTATGCTGCAGTTCTAACATTTAATCGGCGTTGCATGTCTCGCAGATTGAGTATCCCTGCTTGCGATCATCGCACGGGCCACTGAGGCCAAAATCGCTGCGCCTTGGGAACTCGGCACAGGCAACCACTCAGAAGAAGCGGGCCTGGGTCACTGAGGACTTCAAATCCCCAGGCATCCCTCGCGCATTTCGACTGCTGGACCTCTCTTCCTTCCTCATCCGCTCCGAATACCTTCAACCTCTACCTACCTCTTCTTACCTTACCCTTACCACCTTACCATTGATCGCATCTAACCCAGCCGATTGATACAAGCTTTCAAGCTACCAAGCTTACCCCACGCCCCTGCGACTACTGCGAGATGCTCTAGTTGAATCAACGATCCACCCCGCAGCCAATATGGCTTCTTACGCTGATCCACCGGTCCAAGACCGCTGGGACTCGCACGATTTCGATGGCGACCCTGATCGCTATCTATGCCTTTACAACATGTCAGACGAATTTGACTCGGATGCTTGGGCGACTCCTGATCCTCGGGTCACGACTATGGTCGACATGGGAGACGCCTTTGCTTTGGAGATGGAACTGCACCGTTCCACCCTGAACCCAGTCAAATTCGAGAAAACGAACTCCCCTTTTGACGGAGGCAGCTCCGACGATGGAGGATATCCACTACCACGTTTGTTGACGTTCAGAGAACGCCGACGCCTACCTGTGCAGTTGTTACTTCGCAAGGTTAGTTAACGACTGAATACAAGACTCTTCTCTCATGACGAGAGGCTAACACACAAACCTAGTCCCGCCATGCACCTATTGCTTGTGGTAAATGCCGCGAAGACATGATTGCTTCTTGTTCCCTCTCCTCCCGGGATAAATTGGCGAGCGTCCGGCTTTCGGACCTTGCAACTATGGAGGACATTTGCGTCCTAGATTTCGTTACCCCAGTCCCGGTGTCCCCAGACGATAGCCAAACGGCACATCTGGATATTCCGGATACATGCCGACAGGTCTCCTTTGGGAAACCCAACGGTGTGATGCAGTTGTTGTCTGTTGCTGTCTAATATTGCGAGGATGATGTTGGTTATTCGCACCGGTAAGCTCGCCGACGGCGCGTCTACGCTTGCTCTCGCGACTTGCCTCTAACGCTTACCCCCAGGTTGGCCAAGGACCTGAGTACGTCGTAAAACTTCTCGATCGGCCATCTGAACTTGATAGCGCCCGTCCACAAGAATTCACACAAACGCAACCATTCGTAAACCAGCTAGCTCAGCATATCGCCGAGTCAACCACCCTTTACCAATACGACCCTTACTACCAGCAACCTTCAACTCCTGAAACGGAGTTCTACGACCTGTCTGCTGCAACGAATATCGTTGGCAGACTTCCAATCGAGAACACTACACACCACCCCGGGTTCCCCCCTTCAGTCGCAGTTATGGCGGTCACTACCACAGGCTGGCCCTACGGGGCCCAGCCGGTACGTGCTGCACCCGATGCCATGAACGACAGCATGTATCAAAACTCGCCTTTCTCCGAGCTCTTTGAGCTTTCGGACGAGGGCGACGATTGGGCAATGCTCATGCAGCAGGACATGCTCGCTACGGGCGACTACGACATGACCACCTTCGACCCTTCCACCATGGAACCAACTTACCAAACCACCCACTCTCCTCAGGAAATCTTCAACGACCCCGCCGTCCAGTTCGATGTCGCGCAGAGTCTAGGCCCCAACTTCTTTGACTTTAATAGCCCTCTGCCCGACCTCTCTACCTCTGGCTACCTCTCTGGCGACCAGGTTTCCTCCTATTTGGGCAGCACGAACACCTCCCCCTTCGAGCCTGTCCTCGACTTCTTCCCCGAAACCGACTCATTCTCCATGTTCCCGGCAAGCACCGACGGCTCGCCCCTCGACACAACTTTCTCCTCCCCCGGATCAGACAGCGCAAACGCCCCTTCCAGCTCCTCCCACCCATACAGCTGCACCACCGACGGCTGCACAAAGACCTTTGCAAAGGAGGCTCAGCTGAAGCAGCACCAGCGCGTCCATCGCAAGGCCCTCGTCTGCACCATCTGCCGCGCCGAGCACCGCCACGAGCACAAGTTCGCTCAAGTGCGGGACCTAGAGCGGCACATGCAGGCGCGCCACAAGGACGTTGCGGAGAAGAACAACGTGCGCTCCGAGATCCGCCAGTGCCCGCACCAGGGGTGCGAACACCAGGGGAGGCGGGACAATGTGTCGAGGCACCACAAGAGTAAGCACGGTAAGGAACTCAAGTGGAAGAGGGGTGTCCCTCACGTGGTGGGTTGAGTTTCGCTCCTCAACCGGGTTTGATGTTCTCAACCCCAAAAATATGACACGAGCGTTGTGAGTTCTTGGCGTTTATCCACTACCTTTTGCATTTATTTCCTATCTGTTCGGTTTGGGATCTCGGTAGTCTAGCATTGCATTTAGACAATAACAAATCCTTAAAACATAACTGGTGCCACTAGAAACGTGATCAGGAAGTATGTGGCCCATTTGGAAATAATCGCTTTCTTGGCAGTAGTCACCAAGAGCGGCCGCACGTGCACCGATTGCTTGAAGACCGATGCCGAACATCCCCATAATAACTATCCGCAATATCTCCACAAATCCCGACCGTCTCGACGAATTCGTCCCGAGCCGTGTCCGGCGTTTGTACTAACGTTAAGAATCCACGCTACTGCCACTTAATTCATGAGTCGGGATGCAAGAGGGATTCCGAGTAGTGCTAGGTGCTCACATGGGATCTTCTTTTGCGGTACTAATGAGAAAATCTTAACTGCCAGTGATGGTCCTTCGTACATGTAACATCGTCACAGTTTTCCCCAACGCAAAAGTGTAGATGACGTGAATTAGTACAAACAACACTCATAACATGTATGCCTTGCACAACCCTCTTGCGCCTCGCTTCGAACCCAACCCTCCAACGCCTTCCTTATTTAAGGGGTACTAGGCCTCTAATCTGGCCGCCGATGCCACTCATAGACTCATTCATCCATTCCAGGCCATAATTGCAACCTAACCGCAGGAGGCCTCAGACATGAACCGACTGTGCCGCAAAAACGAGTTTGGTCTCTTGCGACCTGACCGTTCCAACACGAGATACGTATCAACCAACAGAAATATCTCGACCAAGTGCCGGACCAACTTGACCGGAACTGGGTTCCATCCTAATAATGACTCTGAAGATTGACGTGATGGATGCAGTGATCCTTGCCAGCCGAGTCCAAGGTTGGTTTGGTCTTCTGCAAGTTACGCGCCGAGTGAGGTTTTGGTGTGGCTCAACTTTGACATGACTTTTTTGATTCCATCGATTCATTTTTTTCCAACATTTTCGGTCGTTCAAAGATTGCGCTGAGCAAATTTTCGGTGTGGCTCAACTGTAATAAGCATTTTTGATTTTGTAGAGCTCATTTTCCCATCACTTTTGATCACTCTAATTATGGCACCAAATTTATTCTCTTCGCTCTGTGTCTCTCACTTCGATCCTCTCATTGATTCTGCCCACTTCATTTGTTTTTACGCGCTGAGCAAACTTCTCATTCCTCTGAGTTGGACATGCCTATGATTTAGTGATTTTGTCGCTTGCACATCGCCACCACTTTTGACCTTTCTCGCCCTACGCCAATTTGATCCTTTTCGTTCCGTTCCTCTCGTTACGCTTCTCTGAATCATCACACCTTTTTCACTCCTTTTCTCTATAGCCGTCACCCGATCTATTCCTACCTTTACGCACACTTCATTCTGCTCACTTGATTCCCGCCATTTCACTTGCTCGACTGCTGGCAACATTTCAGGAATTTCACTCATTTCGCATATTTCAGTCGTTTCACTCTATCTTGATTGTTTTACTCCATTCAACTGTCAGCCAATTTTACTCCATTGGCACTTTCGCACATTTTACCTACCTCGCACGTTTCACTGTTTCCAGCTCTTGTGCTCCTTTCAGCCGTAATGCCCATCCCGCCATCTTTACTCCTTTCCCACAATTGTACCCTTTCAAACTGTTGTGGCCGTTTCCCTCAGTTCAATTGTTTCACTCCTTGAGTCTTTTCAAACACTTCACCATTCTCGATCTTTCCGTTCTATCTGGCCCTTTCATCGCTTTTGGCTCTACAGCCACTTTACTTTTTCTGATTACCACTTTCACCTTTCCCAGCCTTCTCAACTTTCACACTTATTCACACCTATTTTGCACATGTCCCAAGAACCACCGCCACATTGTCTTAGCCGAAAGCCCACTTTCGAGCAGCACACATTTCAATTTTCTTAGCTCTTGTATCATTTTCTACTATTGCATTTTGATTTCGTCTCTCTAAGTTTTGCACGCATTTATACCAAGTTCAACATATTCCACTACACTTCACCCCGTTTAAAACCGTGTCATACGTTCCGCCAACTTCATCCATTTCACCCTTTTCACAATCTTCAGCCCCTCTATATTCTCCAAAATCTCAATCTTTGCTACTGGCTCATTCCCTTCAACCCTTCCATCGCCAGCGTCTCAGCTCTGTCACTCATACCACCCTTCTGCCTAATCGCTGAAGCAGAGTGGTCAGGCAGAATCAAGGATCGAGCGAGCCCCGAGTCACAAGCCCCACCCCCCTGTCACCTTGAGAAGTATATAATGGGGGGCAGTTCCCCCTTCATTCCGTCAAGAGAGAAAGCAGCGCTGCAGCTGGCGGAACATGTGGTCTTACTGAATCGACCCATGCTCTCAGCTCGTGTTCTGTATCCTATGTTGGAACGACTCTCTACTTGAGCTTCTTGCCTGTCATTACCAAGTGTTTTCTTCACTTGGTAGCCATGTCGTCTTCCATCAATCCAACGTCCATTCCATCCGTCTCTGCTCTGCGGCATCAGCTCGGATATGGCGACTCTGACCCGTCGAATTGTCAGTCAAAATTATTCCAAGACAGCGTCCGGGCTTTCCGCAAGACCTTTAAAACCAGACAAGGCTATGAAGGCAGTGCGATGTACGAGTGGAAGTCTCCAGAGCATCAAAGTGCTCTTGAGGAGATGGCCCATGAATTTCTCGACCGTGACGGAAACGGAGCTCGACTTTGGCCGGATGAACATGCCCAAGGCAGTGTTAAGAAGCTCAAGTATTCCCGTCATGGCACGAAGTAAGTAATAACGGCAATCCTGTCTCTTTAAGAACGAAAATTGGCTGATAAGTTCATGTCTCATAGAATCAAGCGAATCCTGAAGCAGCTCTTTTGGAGAATGAACCTGCAGCAGCACCGCAATGGCAAATACAGAAAGAACAAGGTGAAGACGGGCAACGTCCACACACGCACTCTTGATGGGAGAGGTAGTCACGAGAACCCCATCGATGTAGATGAGATTGAGGAGTCACTCGAGAACTCTAGTGCGGTTGGAATGCCTACCACCTCAAGGTGAGTGATCGGCATCCCGCACATACTGAGAGTATTCTCCTTACATTTGATGGCGTAGCTCGACCAAGACAGATAAGGCGGCTGCTCCTTCAAAAATTGTCGACCCATACGAATTAGACTCTACCTCGGAAGAGGTTCAAGGACTATTGCAATTGCAAAGGGGGGTTGCCACAGACTTCCAGCGCGAACCCGAAGGTCATGGCCAAGAAGTCGAGAATAATTCCGTAAGCGAAATTCGTCATGTAGAATTGTCACGTAGTGTGATTCTAATACGGGATACTTGATAGAACGATCCCTACAACCTCACTTCCTCGACTGGCGCTATGGAAGATCGTCAATTGGCGCCCTATGCTGAAATGAAACCTTCCGAGCCTCCTCCCAAGCGTCCGAGGGTTGACACTATGCAGTCTCTCCATCAGACATCGAAGAAGAAGCGAGATGAGGCTCCGGTCGATCCCCAAACAAGTCTGACGTCGCCGCGCAAGCGCAATGCGCCTCAACGCGATGGGATTCTAACAGGCGAACGACTGTCTGAGGCCTTGCAGGCAATGGATAAGGACTCCCCTCCGGAGATGAACGCCGGCACCATGTCATCTGGAGCCCACCTAGAAGTTCCTGGCGGCTCTGTCACTGGTGGCCAAGCGGAGTCGGATCTACACAGGGGGGAAGCCAATGCGGAGGATGTCGAAGACAGAGAAGATTCTGTTGACGCATTCATTGATGAAGCGACCAAGCAACTGTACGTCGAAACTGATACGCGTTCAATTCAGCAAGATGAGGTTATCAGCAGCACCGAAGCACCAGCGCCAGTTGACACCTCGTGCCCAACGAGCCCTACTGTGGAACACAAGTCAGTCTCTTTCTTGGCGGACATGAGACGTTCACAGACAATGGCTGTAGAGCCAATCGAAAACGACGGCTCACCTCAGACCGCACCGTTGCGTCAAGCGCGAGTCAAATTCGTATATCGCATCATCACTCGTTACCCGACTCGCCGGAGCTGCATCTGGAAGCCCAGAGGAAGCTTCCGGACCAAGACGCTGGCCGAACTAGAAAATGAGCTTCCTCTCGAGTTTGAGCGATCCGAGCTCAAGTACCTCCTTATTCGACTGGAAGCTCGAGACACTCATGCGGATCAGATTATTCCCTGTGGAAGAGAAGATGAATTCGATGCTCTGAAACGACATCTTGTAGACTTCATTCGACATTGCATTGTAGAATCGCTCCCTGGAGAGGAGGTCTCTGTCTTTATTGACATTGAGCCATTGCATACTCTGGATTCGACGGAGAAATCCTCGGAGGTAGAGCATATTATGTTTGATTGGTGACGGATCTCGATTTGAGCTAGCCTTTGTAGCGTTGCGGCCTCTTGTTTTCCTTGCGTACTAACTTGCGACGAATGATGAAGTTCCTTGGACAGGATAGGATTGGTTGTGATTGCAACAATTCAGGACATAGGGAATGCCCAAATTGCAGATTGTGGAAATACACTCTCTTGAATGACCTGGTAGCGAAATACAGAAAGACTCAAGAACCTCTCTGCAAACTCCATGTCCAAACTTGGCCATGTGGTTTCAACACACGATTGATGCATCTAGATGCGTAAAACGCTGGCATCCGAACATCGCCAATCTACCGCCGGCACGCAAGCCTCCATTACCGTTGTGCACAAGAGGCCATTAACTACCACGTAAACACATGTACCAAGTAAGATACAATGGCGCTGTGATTAAGGGGGCATCGTACCTATCGATGGGCAGTAACATAAGGCTTGTCAGGTTTTCCACGTATCAGACAACGACATCATGTCAATGCACAGACTTCATGTCGAAACGTCAACATCATAAGGTAGCTCAATCCCATTCAGGCGTTATCTCAGGGGCTACA